TTGTCTGCCATTTGTGAATAACTGATAAGGCAAAGTTAAAAGCACTGCGCCGGGCTGAGCTTGATAAAAGGACAAACAGAATATGACTTCTGAAATGTCAACCGGGCTAAATTATTTGAACAACATTGGTTCTCCATACTGGTTTGCAGCCGAAAGATCTTATCGAGATGAAAGACGGGGCAGACATGGATGGGTAGATGTGGGCAAATAAATTAAGTTTAACTTTGAGGACGGCTGAGATTTCTGAATGGGGTGAAGCTGGAGATGAGAAGGGGCAGAGATGAGGATTTTATGCTGGAAGGCAGAGAGAGGAAAATTTCATGACTTGCTAATCAATAGTACCAAAGAAACTCCTCTGTGCCAGGATACAGTCTTGAATTTTTGATAATATCGTGTTATCATTCAATCGAATGTTTCATGTGTGACTGTGCGGGGCTCGCACATGGATCCGTAAGTGTGCATTGTTAGATGTGTGAGCTCGTAAAAGCACTGATCTCTGCTGAAAGCCTCACATGTGAGAAATACTCCACATACAGAACAAAGACAATAGCTTTCTTCTTCCCCTGAGCACATATGTTGGCTATAATAATAAGCGGTTAGGGTTGAGACGTTGAGGGGGGGTTTAAGATCCTCCACCGCAACCCTCCTGAAATACATTTCCTAAAACAGGAGCACCCTACCGAGGGATATTGTTATGTGTGTTGCCCACAAACTATTCCACTCTATTATTTCACCGGAACAAAAAGGTTTACTGGAACCTCAATGCACGGATAGCTATTCATAAAAAGGTTATTCTATTATTGCTGACTTTATACAGGAATGTACAATCTAAAAAAGGAACACTCTTTGTAAAAATAACCTTGCACTTGTTCTTTGAAGATGAATGTAATAACCCTGAACGATAAACTATACTTTAAGTTCTCTTTGCTGCTGGAATTTCACACAGCCACAATGAGTCTGCATTGGTCGAGGATAGCAAGTCTGTCTGTTCTATACTGCTCACAAAAATCGAATTAGAAAGGATATCAGACGCCTCATAACAGCAGTTATAAATATTTTGTCGTCGCTTAAAGATAGAAGAGACACTGTCATACGGTAGAACTGCCATGTAAATTAGGTTTTGATGGAAAATAATTGACTACAAGATAGCGTTTGTTTTTGACAAGTTCCTTACTAATCCTAGCCCACGGAGAACAGGCTGGAGGGTCAAACAAGCAAAAGGACTGTAATCCAGGGGACCAATGTTCATGTGCAGTTTGAAATTATAATTCACATACAATTAACCAATGATGTTTTACTAAAACTTAGTAGTTTATTCTTAAAATTAGTCTTTTTTTTGTTATAATCTCATCTAGATTGTTATCATTTAAAATATTACAATGCATTATGACTGCAATTGCAATCCAGGACAAAATATTTGGAGCCTGAGAGTGAGACTATATAAACCTTTTACACTTTTAAAATGTTGTACATTCCCCGTGCTTGTGTTTTTGTTTTGCATAATTCCTAAGCATAGATAGTTAGGTTGAATTTCAACATTATGATTTCATCAGCAGTGCATTTATTCTGTCCAAAGCATGAGGTTCTCAAACATTCAGTCCGCTGTCACTTTATTTTTCAGTCACTCCAAATCACATTACAGTGGCATTTTAACGCAGGCACGACCAAAGCTGTTAAAACTTTCCAGCATGTGTACCAAGACTGTGGGGCTTATAATATAATTGGTTGATAGTTCTTGTTCGCTGTAGGGGAAACAATACAGTCAACATTATTTAATCCCAGAGTCTGTTTGAATGCTGAATAAATGCAGAGCAGAGAAGCGACACGTTTTGACTTTTTTGCCAAGTTTCTTCCGTACACATAAAACTAAAGGAGAATGTATAAGGCTGTGGCTCAGTGGATGGTGTGCAGGACTTTGAATCAGAGGGTAGCAAGTTCGAGTCCCACTGCAGTCAGCATGTCGTTGTGTCTCTGGGCAAGACACTTCACCTCAAATTGCTCCTGTGGGGATTGTCCACAGTATTGAATGTATGTAAGTCGCTTTGGATAAAAGCGTCTAACATGTAATGTATAACTTAATGCTTTAATATGTATATATTAGTAAGATAATCCCTTATATGGAGACAGTGATACTTCCAGAACTTTTCTCTTTTGTATGAGTTTTACAGTGGAGACAAAATCATAGAATGAAACCGAGATGAGACATGGAGGAAAGAGAATGAGGGATACACATATTTTGCCATCCTTGGTGATAACATTAATGTCAAGATGGAAGGGGGTAGGAAGACAGCAAAGCTAATGAATATGTATGGATGCCGACAGTAAAGTGCTGTTTTGGAGTGAAGTGGGAAAAAATGGCCTCATGAAGACAGCACTTTAGGGCCTTCTCTTGCACAGATTGTGGGTCTATGAATATTCATTGGCCATTGTCCCAAAATAAAATGTGCTTAACGCTTCTGACTTCTTCTCATCCGTGAAATACGCAAAAGATTTAACCTATGCATGGTTTGGCCTATAACGCCATCTATCCACACTTTTGATAGGGCAAGATAGACTTCTATTCTTTGTAAAAAGAAAAAAAGCACTTTTTAAAGAATATACCTGATATGTATAAGCTCAGTGTCATGGGGAAACCAGAAAAGCTATTTGTCATATTCTGTACTAGAGAATATTGCATTACATTCCCAGTGAATCCCTGGATTTAACAGTTCAGTGACACGTTGTTAGCGGGATATGTGCCAGTGGCTGCGACGGAGCCTGTATGGATGTTATATCATAGCATATTTGTTGGAAAGTATCTGAGCGTGCTCAAGTGACAAAGTCTATAACCTCATCATATGCCAGACAGCATGATGTCCTTGAGCATATTTCACAACATGCTACATTAGCTTTCACAACACTGCCATGCATTTGTCAAAGTGTCACAGCAGCCGGAGCCAACGCTGTTTAAAAGGCCTCTATGTCATGTTTTCTGTGTAAAAAAAAATCTGCAGGTGAGAATTCTCTAAGGGAAAGCCAAGTCTGAGGGGAGACAGAAAGACAGAGAAAGAAAAGCAGGAGAAAAAATCTGAAAGTAGAGGTCAGGACATATTGTGTTTCTATAGTTAGTTAAGCTTCTCCTACAATAATCACTGCCTGATAAGCCAAAGGAATTACAATGTCTTATTTTATTGTGGTCTAAAGTACAATTATGACCCTACCCTGACATCTACTTCACTTACAAAAGAACGAGGAGAAAATCCTCACTTTAAAATGTTCCTTTGAGCAACTTGTTTCACTCTTGTTCCAACCAATTTAGCCGCACTGTAAAACTGTATTAAACTCAGCTAATTCTACTCCACAATTTCTTCTGCTCAGCAAGGTGAACTAGAGGTTGCACAAACCTTCCTGTGAACTCAGTGTTACACATTTAATGTCTGCAAAAGACAATCTGTGTCCATCAGAAACACCATGTGTACCGTCCGCGAGCTCTGAGCCAGCATCAGCAGAATGCATTTTAACCTGGGATGATGCACATTTCGAACATATTTTCACAATTCCAGTATAATTGCAATAATTACCTCGTCCATCTCCCCTGCTTTGTAGCCTCCCTCCATCAGCAGTCTGCCTTCCATGTATTTCAAGCTCTCATTAACACCACCGTCCTATAAGCCCTTACTGCCTCTTACTGTCCAACCTTTGTGGGGTATCTCTTGACATGGTAAAGTAACTACAGTTCCTAGCCCCTGTTATCCAGGGCCTGCACGTGTTTAATGCCGTAGAGCATTAACAGGCCTGGATAAACCATGTGAAGTGCATGATACTGCTGTGTTTCATTAACCTAGGCCTTAGGGAAGTGGAGTACTTGCTCTAAAAAGGACAAACCTACTTCTGAGAGGCTGCTTCACATGTTAGGTGACCTCGGTTGGTGCTACAAGGAAGAACAGTTTGATATAACAAGGGAACATTTTATAACAAGCTGCATGTACTCTCTTGAATCTGAGCCTTGTTGTTTGTCCAAAGGAGGATGGTAGTGTGAGAACAGTAGGCCTTCAATTTGAAATAGCTCTGCTTCCTTTTAGCGTTTTTAGCTATCTAGCTGGTAAACCTTTTTAGCAAAGAAGAGAAGTAATGGATACCATTAACTGCCTTTTCTTTCTTCAAAATGTTTTATTAGGTTATTAAATAGGCCACAGTTGGACATGGAGAGCTCCTTTAGATCTCATTACAGCTTTAAACCTATGAATATAAAGAACATACGGATAAACAGCCAACCACAACCAGGTTACAGTTATTACTAAAGTATATACCATCTGGTTGGCATGCCATAGGGTTGCTGCAGTAGTAGAGTACAACCAACCTTTCCAGTCTCCAACACATCCATCTCAAACTACATTTATGCAGAACCACTTTCGACTCTCGTGTGATGGAGCAGACACAAGGGGTATACAAAAATATAGAGGGTATTGAAGTAGTTTCAGGCAAAATACTAAAACAATGTATATGCTGTTTATGGGTTTTGTGTCAGGAGTGTGTGTATTGTGCGATGAAAATGAGGCTGTTGGCGGACCCTTACTGTGTTGGAGATGGTAATAGTTTGCCTGAGCCTTGGGGGAGCTGCTCAGCAGGCGGTGCTGTGCGTACGTGCATTTTCCCGTGTGCTTGTGTGCAAGTATCAGCAGGAAAGGCTTGTGCAGGTCCCGCAGTGCATGTCTCAAAAGCCAAGTCATCAACCCTTTTTAATCCAGCCCAGCAGGGATGTGTTTCTGTTTTTGGTACTGTATGTGTGTTTGAAGAACGACTTCATGAGAACTGCTGCTGTAAACTTGGTTATGTTATACTCTGAGGCGAGGTTAGAAACTCGTCCTAGTTCCAACCAGACAAGATTATTTTGTCTCGACTTAAATTGGAATACTGATTAGTTCTTCTTTTTGCCCAAGTCATGTTGGTTTTATCTAGTTGAGGATATTTCCTAACATGTGTCTAACATACCGCCTTCTCTGCTCTCTCTTCCTCTGCAGGACGAATGTCATAGGATGAACACTGCTGGTGGGGTGTGTCTGTCTGTGCTGTCCTCTCTCCTGGCTGTGGCTGGGGCCCTGGCTGCCGTGTCTGCCCTCGCTGTAGCTCCTCTCTCTGCCCTGGCTGAAGCTGTCGACGGCGTCCCTAGCACCGGGGCAGAGGGGGCCCCCTCGCCCATCTCCTCACCATGCTCCAGCCTTGTAGCTGGGGTGCTTTATGGGTCTTTCTCCCTAAGGGAGCTCTTTCCATCCAGGGCGCCGGGCTGTTCCTGGTCCCTGGAAAACCCTGATCCCACCAAGTACTCCCTCTACCTCCGCTTCACCCGGCACCCTATCATCTGCCGAACACACTCCCCCATGCTCCTTTCCCTTGATTACCACCTGGCCAATCAAAGCTGTCCCCTCCACTTACAAACAGCCGCAGCCAAGGATCAGCAAATCATTGATTTGTGTGGCAGCCAATCTAACTCAGAGGGACCGTACTCGTTCCTACAGTTTGATAAGAACTTCGTCCAGCTATGTCTAACGAGACATCCAGCCGCGGGCGAGCCTCAGGTATCTAAGGAAATACTGGAGCTGAGGCTGGTAGAGGTGTTGCTCATTAACAACGAGAACTCCAGCCAGTTTACCTGCGGCGTGCTCTGCAGATGGTTTGAGGAGTGTTTACGCACAGGTCACAATGGAGAGCAGGAGGTGTCTGACGGAGATGGTTGTGGGATGACGCAGACGGGATGTATCTGTCCGAACCACAACATCATGGCACCACCTGTTCCCTTGCTCCCGGAGACGCCCCACAGTTTCAGCAACGGCTCGGTTCTTCCTGATGACTGCTGCGTCACTGAGCTGCACTCCAATGAAGCAATCGCCATAGCACCCCGAGATGTTCGACAAGGTAGGACTATGTACAGCATTATCACACTTGCATTGTGATAATGAACATGTGATTAATGCCCTGTAGACAGATGTTATGCATTAATAGTACCTAGTGTTGCAACATCTACCAATACTAGAAAGGTATTCCCTGCTCTTAAAAGTTAAAATATCCCATTTTATTTGTGATGGTACTTTAAGAATAAAAGTGTTTGTGGATGTGTGAAAGCGGGCTAGTGTGTGTGCGCAGTGGGAGCTGCTTCCACTCACTGCAGGCATAGTCGGCTGTTTCTTCAGTCACATTCACGCTGCAAATATAAGTGCTTTTCGAACCGCACATCATTTGTCCACAAAGCAGACGTACGTAGCTACATTTGGCTCTAAAGTCTTGCTAAGGGTTATGAGTTGTGCCTATAACACAGAGGCTCTTTAGTCGGAACTTAGACGGAAAACTCTTTATTGCTCTTAAATTGTTAGCGATGGTGCATTACAGCCTCAGTCTGTCCATTCTTACCTTTTTAAATAAAAGCTTGACACACACAACATCACTGCTTACTTACTAAAGGGAACTAACATTCAATCAGAGCGTTTCACTAGGAGGCAACCAAACAAAATGCCTCACAGTACTGCTCACACTTAACTATTTTATAACCAGCTCTTTCAGAACCTTCTATAACCAGTGACATGTGAAGGTGGAGACGTGGTGTCATGGTGTATTTTGACTATTGATTTGAGGTACTTAATCTTAGTCATAATTATGGTAGAAGGACTACACTGATGGTAGCTTATACATTACAAAACATACAATAATGCATCCTCATATAAACAGATCTTGTGAATCCATCTTGCAAACAAGCAACAATAACAATTACAAACAATAGATATGTTATCCTGGCTTTTGATCGGCCTTAGGGAGGTCACGTGCCTCTGCTTTACAGAGAATTTATTATTTGGATTTTGTTTGTTGCCCTTTTAATTTAAAAAAACGAAGCAGTTCAAAGGCGGCCCTTTTAAACCTTCCTTCAAAAGATGTGTGAATTTCTGTCAGAAATTCAGCCCTCTGATCTATATTTTAGATATTCCCCCATGTGGCAAAGAGGTGTGGCGCATACTTCAGTATCAGACTGTGTGTGTGTGTGTGTGTGTGTGTGCGTGCGTGCGTGCGTGCGTGCGTGCGTGCGTGCGTCGATGTCGGTGTGTTTCGGTGTCGGTGTGTGTGTATGGTTGTGTGTCGGTGTCTGTGAGAGAGAAACCATCTGTTGACAATGTTAGGACAAGATCAGATTTGACACCTATGCACACACACAGATGCAGGGTCATTCATACATCAATGATTTGAACACGAGGCAGTCATTCCCTTAGCACACATACCACACAGGAATATGCAGGCATGTGTGCAACTGCATAAATCTGTGTGTGTGTGTGTGTGTGTGTGTGTGTGTGTGTGTGTGTGCACCTTTAAGCAACATAGATAAGCGTTTTATCCATACCGAGATGGACTAGTGCTTGTACTTAAGCTTTCTTATCCATTTTAGTTCATCACCGCCACCAGAGTATTTCCTTTAACGTAATTAAATTAGACTAATATAGAAGTGAATGTAGATAAACAGAGAGATGTTGCAGTTTCTCTTAGAGTTCACAGTATTACATAATAGCGTTCCTTTGGGTGGATTATTGGCATGTTTGCAGAGTGAACCGCGCCAATTAGATTCCAGTTATTTCTATTGCATGGCTCTGACAACATACTTACACAAATACGTAGAGCTCCGGGGAGTCTTACCTTGCTAAGGGGAAGGTTATCGTTCTCTGGATTCAATCAGCAGGGGGGGATTGTATCATCTAATACACTCAGAGAGGAAGAGGGACAGAGGCAGAAACATGGTGTAGGAGGACTGATAATTGAGACAAAAGCTAAAAGGATAGAGGCACTGGGTAAATGAATGCCAAGTGTCAGGAGAATACTGAGTTCATGCTAATTGCCTGGAAGCTTTGTTGGCCTTTTTTCCATCTTACCTCAAAGACACTGATGTTGCGTACATGTTGGTTAGCGGCTGGTCTTTCTATGATGAAACTCTCAACATGCATAGAGACCACTGTGAACCGCAGAGAGGCCTTGATAAGAAAGAAGAAGCCTTTGTGTGTGGAAGGCAGTTTTCTTCCAAACAATTCCCCCATGTCCTAATTACCCTAAAATAGCAGAATTACTGTAAACCTAACATTGCATTTTCAGGGTGTGAGCCAGTGTCTTGCCCACATCCTCCTCCTGTCCCCCTTCTCTCCATTTCTAAAAAAGAACAACAACACTCTTGCTGAGTCAGAGGCTCTTGAAAGCAAGAGCCTCTGACTCAGCAAGAGTGTTGTTGTTCTTTTTTAGAAATGGAGAGAAGGGGGACAGGAGGAGGATGTGGGCAAGACACTGGCTCACACNTTAGCGCTCCTTGAAGAAGAAAAGAGGCTTGGGCCACCCGCTGTAAACAAAGTTGACTTGCCGACAGATGGATTGAATGACAGAGAGGCTAACTGAGCCAGGAAACGGGCCTGGCAGCACCGCACTGATAGAGAGGGAGGGAGAGAGAGAGAGAGAGAGATAAAGGGGGGGTGGGGAGAGAGAGGGGAGAAGAGAGAAGAGGTGGCCAACAGGAGAGGAGGTGTGAACAGGTGCAGGGCCGCTGAAGGAAGAACCAGCAGATGGAGAGAGACACAGCCAGTTTAGTTACAGGAAAAAATAGGGTGGGAGGGAAAATAGGAGGAAGGAGGGAGAGATGGAAACGGCAGAAAAAAAGGATCGGAGGAGAGATGAGCGCAGACGGATATATGGACAGATAGATAGAGTGGACACGGGGTAAAGGTGCGGCTAGGCTACATCCGGCTGTGTGTGATTTCATAAGAAAAGCTGTGAGATAATATTCTGATTGTCTGCAGCGGCTATAATGCAATTTAACGCTAATTAATGCAACTTGTGCAAATTGCCCAACATATGCAAGTTAGCATCCGGCTGGGGACCCATACCTTACATTCCTGACCTAAAACGTTGGGGTACTCGACATCTCCGGGTTCACAATAGCCCTCTATGAGCTGGCAACTCGACTGTAAGGGGAGGAGTGTCAGAATAAAAATGTGGGAGCAGATTGACATACATCACCTCAAGGTTTAATAAAAATGTGCTAAAACACATGGAGGTGCGTGCGAGAGAAGACCGTGTGACACTGTCTGCTAAACCAAACAGTTCAGATGTTTATTGTACGCCGCATCAATGATACGCAGCTCAATATGTCACTTTGTTTTCTCGGCGGTGCACTCCTCCTCTGTTGGCAGCGCGGGTCAGACGGGCCTGTGTCTCACCGTCTCTCAGTCACAAACACAAGCCCACTCACACATTAGCAGAAATCATCTTTGTACTTCTGCGTATCAAACGGTTGAATATTAATGCGGTCTGATTGATGCAGTCTATCATGAGTAGCTGCGGATCCACTGGAATTCCTCCACAACAAATGAATCAGCACGAGTGTCAACATTTTGAGCAGTTCGGCACCAACAGTTGTAATTTCATAGTAAAGCATCAGTGCATTTCAGTAAATCAAGCAAGTCTCGAGACGACAGGTACTAAAATAGTCTTTAAATGCAACTTTCTTTTCAAGATATTCCTCAAATACAAGATGATTAATTTTTGTTTATACTGTGACTTAGATATAAGAGTTACAAGCAGTCTAAGATTCGACAGGTAATGCACAATGTCTATTTATGAAAATGACATTTAAAACCGCTCATTTGGAATTTGAGTTAATATTCAATGTACGGAAAATTGCCATGATTATAGTCATTAGCACAGATGGTCCTCTGTGACAGAAATAGTATTATTAAATCTGGTCTTCCACTTAATTCTCAATCTCCTGCTCAACAGCTCTTTGTTGCGAACTATGCTTCTGTGTTTACGTGTCCCTGCTATAGGCTGAGTTCACACTATGTTCACCTGTATGTTAATTTCACACCTGTTATTTTGCAACACCGAAACGTCTCTGGGCATAAATATGAATATGCATTAGTTTAAGGTATTTTTTTCTTTAGTTTTAATGTACAAATAGATCCTCTGTGTAAAGTATTTGCTTCTATACATTGCGTCCACAAACTCAAGTTTAGACAGCTTAATGAATCAAGTCATATTATTTATGTGTGGGTTAATAAACTGTATGTATTAAGTTTGTGTGTATGTGCATCGGGTGATGCTGTGTGTATTGCAATAGTCTCTTTAACTTTAGTCCACACAGCGGTCAGTGGTGTCTGGCGTTGGCGGATGTCTCCAATTCCTCCAAGTCCACCGTCTGACTCCAATTTGTGCTCGTTCTCTGATAAACCGCGGCATTTGGTGGTTCTGGCGTGGGATGCCGGCTGCACCATGGGGTGCTGCAAACTCCGTGCTTGGTCAGGCCCTGGCACCCCACATCTAATGGGCAACAGCTTGAATAGTGCCCACTTAGGCAGGCCGTGCAGACTGGGCCCCCTCTTCTTCCTCACCGCTCCAGCCATCTCGCCAGCCAGCCACCGCCTCTGCCACCTCCCACTTACCCAGCAGCCACTGTACCTGGCCGCAGCCCCAGAGCTATTCCAGCCTACCTTAGGCCGCTGGCCCATGCGGCTCTCGCCATACTTATCAAGCTGTCCTACGGAGCATCAGGCCAGGCAAATACAAACAGGCCCAGCTATCCGCTAACTGATCATTCAGTCTATTGCCTCCTAGGCCCAAACAACAGTTCTTGCCACAGGCAGCAACCCAGAGCCCATTCCCCAATTAGCTGGAAGGCAGATTATTATCCAGGGAGAATTATCCAGCTCCAGCCCCACACATTCAGCCTCTGCTCTCCCCGTCGCCCTCAACGCCTGCTCCAGGGCTTGGCTCTCCACTGACATCTCTCCTTCGCTTTCTCCTTTTTATGCTTTAATTTGACAGTGTTCACCAGCGGCCATTTTGTGAAAGCGCTTTGCAAGTATACGCCTTGAATTTGTTTGGGAATAGAAAATGGCGCAGGGGAAATAACTTCATAAACTAGCCGGACTTTCCACCTTCATTTGGCTCTGGATGAAGCTAAAAGGCCCTTGTCACAGAACTGTAAACTCCTCAATCCTAACTTATTGAACCAAAACTTAGAATCAGAAAATGCTCCTCAAGGTTCTCCCACTCCCATCTAGAAATAAAGTCCCCGAGAGTCTGTTGTTCAACTCTGTTTTGTACAACTTTACTAAGATGTACTTGTTAAATGTTGGTTCAGTTTATCAGCAAAAACCAAACAGATGCCAAATGTGTAGTTCTCTGTGTGCTTTTCATCGCTCTCCTCTTCCTCACCACCTCTCTATTGCTGACTGCTGGAACTTTCTGGCGGTCTGTCTGATGCTAATTGGTGGGTAAACAGGTCTGGTGTGAGTACCCCCCCACACCCACCACCCCCAATCGCACACAAACACACACACACAGGGGCATACGCAAATACACACGGCCCCCTGGAACCTCTTGCAGGACCAAATGGCTGGCAACGCCTGCCCGCCATCTCCCGCTGAGCCCTGGTGTGCGCTTTGGTGGCTCAGGCTGCTGTTCAAGCCCAGCGGGGGTTCATTCACTCTCACACACACGCACACACTCATACGAGTACAGACACACACACTCTCCTTGTGTCCCCTGCACACCCGCCACCCGCTTTCACACCCCAGACAGCAGGACAGCAGGAGAACACACACACACACGAAGGAACAGACAGACGCGGTCACTTTAGAGATGCAGGCCAAGCGCTGTAGGGGAGAAAAGTTTTCACTTAAACTGGAGAATTCTCTCTTCATTAGCGCCTTTGGACTTCAGGAAGAGTTCTGTTTATTTGTTCGTTTTTTTTTTCCTGTCTTTGTAATTTTTTTTCTTTGTCTGTTCCTCTGTTGTTTGGCTACACTTAGCCGAGTTAGAAAGTTTGGTGCTAACTGGAGGGAAATGCAGGCATGAACACCTCAATTTGCCTCTTACCTGCACCATCTAGATATTGAGACCAAGAAAAGTGGATCAAAGCGATTTGATTGGCACCAAATGTGTTGAAATGTGTTGACCTCTTCATTACTACAGACTCCGATTGATGGACTGATGTTATTTTGCGTAGTGTTTGCGGCTCGAAACTGTGAGTGATTTTGATGCAAGTTCTATGGCAATCTTTTTTCAACACGACAAAAGAGTTACTAGACGGTGTGTGTCGGTGTGTTTGTCGGTGTGTGTGTGTGTGTGTGTGTGTGTGTGTGTGTGTGTGTGTGTGTGTGTGTGTGTGTGTGTGTGTGTGTGTGTGCGTCGGTGTGTGTGTGCATGTGTTTTGTAGACAGCTGCAGTATCACTCAGGGGTCTTAAAGCCGACAGTGGCCTGACACTTTTACCCTTCTACCCCCCAATGGTTTTCTGTCATTTTCCTCTCCGTCCTTTATTTCATCCTCTTGTTTTTACAGTGTGTGCTCTCGTCCTGCTTTCTCTCTCACCTCTGTGTTTACCTATCAGTCTTTCTCTTTTCACCTTATTGATATCCTTCACAATCAAGTGTGGTGGAATTTAGTAGGAATGCAGTGATTCATCTGCTAATCCTAAGCGATATATTTTGAGAGGTTGCTGACTTTGTTTTAATCCTTGAACAAAGGAAAGGCCTTCATTTGATCATTCTGTAATAACTCATGATGATGTTGGGTGTTTCACATCACTGTCTTGCTTTGTTTGCACATGTCATTTTGAGAGCAATTATAAAATGCACTGCTTTCACCACTGCAATTTGGATTGTGTAGCTAATCACTTTTGATTAAAACAATTCAACATTGTAGTCATAGGGCAGTTGAAAACAAACCAAACTCAAAACACCTCAAATGTACATGTTCTCCACCACAAGCAGGAGATGAGTTATCAATCATCAGCAAATCAATCAATCAATCAATCAATCAATCAATCAATCAATCAATCAATCAATCAGCAAAGAACATCATTTAGTGTCTCTGTTTGGTCTAACTGGTTTTACACACACTGTACAGTAGGTGTAAGTTATGTGATGATACATGCTGTCGAGCCGCCCGAGGCACATTTATATAAATAATATGTTTGATTGTTTGAGGATTTTTTTATTATTTATTTATAAAAGTTTGGGTTTAAATGTTTCTTTAACACCCTGTATCTTTTCCCCCAGGCAGCACAGAGAGAGTGCAGAGCGGGCTCATGAAGAGGAACTGGCGTCTACAACTCTTAAAGCGCGGGACAGAGAGAGAGAGCTGTCTGCGCTGCTGGAGCGAACGGAGGCGGAACACCAGCAGAGAGGTCAGTGCTTCCACTTAGACTGCTTCACACCTCTGAGACTGTTTTTAAATATAGTTAAGTGTCTTGTTGGCTATACGCTCTTCAAAAAACCTGCCTTTCCTTTCCCCCAATTCAAGGTTCAAGGTTCTTTATTGTCAAACTAACATAGCTACAGAGTAATTATGTCGTTGAAAGTCTTAGGTCACAGGCTTCTCCAACAATGCAACACAATAATACAGATAAGCAGACAATATTAAAACAATATTAAATATACTATATTAACAGTTACATTCAGTTTAGAGTCAGGTGTATTAGCTGTTGATGGGTGTCCACTATAATCTGTTGCATCATGTTTTGAATGTGTCACAGTTCAAATGTTCCCTTGAACTGTTAAGGCCAGTCCGTCTATAAGTGGTCTTATTTTGTTGATGTTCAGGTTCATATCAGTATTCTGTTCCTCTACTGTGACATGTCTCCTCGCTTTAATGTTCAAAAAGCTCTTTATTTCTCTCATACTGCCTGAGCTGCAGCACCTCTTTTCACCCTCTGTCTGAAACCAGAGCCCAGTCTGCTCTGATTGGTTAACTGGCCGGCTCTGTTCTGATTGGTGAACCGCTCAGCCTATCACGTACAATGTGTTGGAGCTAGCCAATAGAAGGGTGATTGTTACCTAGTGATGTCACTATATGACATAACAAAACTACAATCGAGGTGTTTCAGTTTGTGGGAGAGAAACTCCCTCTGTAGGGAACTTTGGGATTTCATCCTTTGCACACATGCACAACAACCTACAACACACTACTACAGGAAAGAGAAAACCCCAAAAAGCATAAAATGAACCCTATAATAATTATTTTGCCTTAAGTTTCATTTTAAATCAGAAGGGCAATCGGATCTGCTCAGAATGTTAATGTTATCCGTGGCCCACGCTAAAACCTTTTACCAAGTTTCTCCATTAGTTTCTCCATCATCCTGCTGAAAGCCATGCACGCCAACCGACAAACTGAACCGAAAATATTACCTTCCTGTCTCTGCTATGCTTTGGCATTCAAGCTAGAATGGCAGGAGATCAGGTCTGGCTGCTGCATTGGATCAGGCAGACGTTGGTGGTCCGACTCCCCAAAGAGCTGCATGAAATGTTTTTCAGTAACCAGGCCACACACACACACACACACACACACACACACACAT